CCCTGCTGGCCCTCGGTGCCTGTGGCTTCTGGCCCCAGCCTTTTGGGGTCTCTGTAAGTCACGGGACAGGCTCTTGCCCAGTGCTGGTGTTTGTTGCAAAACCAAAATGGTCTGTTCCATTGTTTATCCTAGATAGAGTCTCAGAACTCATTCTAGAAGAGTCTATTTGGGGGAGGCCCATTAGTGTTGCACCATGAGGAATATTTATTTCCTCTTTTAATTTTAAATATTCACTCTGGCCTAGCTTCCAGTTTAACTCACTGTTTCCTTAAAAATCTGATTTCTGCTCATGACAAATAGAACGGACCTATCCTCTGCCAACACCTGTGGTTTCTCTAGTTTTTAAAAAACATGAATGATGGAGAGGAGAAGAGAGGCTAAGCCTGCCCTTTGGGGCTCACGGTTACTCACGGGAGGGCCCGGGAGGCCAGGAAATCCATCCAGCCCGTCGCGTCCTGTAGGGCCATCGTCACCTTTCATCCCCGGCACACCCGGGATGCCTGGCTGTCCCCGCTCACCTGGGAAAGGATTCACATGTGAATTTATTCATACAGTGGAAGAGAGGCCCAGTGGGACAAGAATTCTGCAGCCACAGAACTGACCTTTGGTTGTGATTGTTCTGGAATCTCCCTTGGCTCCTTTGGGCCCAGGAACACCGATATTGCCAGGGGTTCCCTGTGGAAACAAACACAAAAATGTTTCTTCCTGTTTCCGACCATTAGGAATCTGAAGAGAAGGGACCTTTCAGCTGACACAGCTTCCCAGAACCCCACGGCATCTCCACAAAGTCCCGGAGTTCACACGCTCAGTGACTTTTGAGAAGCACTGACCCCAAACTTAAGGTGGCTTATTATAAACCACTGAGGAGGGTCTAAGTGGGCAATAGGTCTCTAAGTACAAAGTACAAAAATTTGTGATAATTTGATACTGAAAACAATAAACAGTGTTTAACAGATAATTTGTTTTCTAAACTGTGTTTAAGGCTGGGGGGAAGGCCGTGGTTTAGAGACCTTAGTCCAGGAACAGTCAAATTTTAGGCTGTGAAATCGGTGTAGCTCCTTCACAGCAGCAGGGAGTGGATTGACGACTCAAGGTTGTATTTTAACATGGGCTTGTGCTAGGTTTGGCATATCCTGGTTAATGCCATTTCCAAGAATACAGGAGCTTTTAGTGTGGATTTAATTAAATGGAATGTTACAGTGATTAAGAGTCCTTTTCTCCTAGAAAATTCCACAGATACTTGATTTATTGATTTAGTTCTTTGCAGGAAAAGGTGACATTCTTTTTGTATACAAGAGAATCTCTCACACCCAGGCAGTGCTCAATAAATGTGTCAGGCACAGGAGTACACAGACGGACGTATTGACCCACGCCATGCTTTAAGCACTTTGCCAGACTCTAGCTGTGCAGATACTTAAAAAACTAAGAGAACCCCCCCCCCCAAATCATCTCAGGTGCTTTTATCATATTGGGGTTGCCAGACACATAAATATATAACTAAACTCAGGACACCAGACAACCAGCTATTGGAACATAAAACACAATTGTGGAAGCAAACTATGTATATACTTGGAAGATGTTGGACATTTTGGGCACTCAGAATGGGATCCATTTGGCTTCTAGAAAACATCCAATCTTTTTTTTTTTGAGACAAGAGTCTCACTATGTTGCCCTTGGTAAAGTGCTGTGGCATCAGAGCTCACAGCAACCTCAAAGTCTTGGGCTTAAGTGATCCTCTTGCCTCAGTCTCCCAGTAGCTGGGGCTGCAGGTGCTTGCCACCACACCTGGCTATTTTTTGGTTATTATTGCCATTGTTGGTTAGCAGGCCCTAGCCAGGTTCGAACCCACCAGCCCCAGTGCATGTGGCGGCACCCTAACAACTGAGCTATGGGCACTGAGACCCCAACTTTAAAAAAAAAATTTTTTTCTCCCAAACATTTTTAAACAACAGAAGAGCCTACCATCTTTGCCCTTAGTAGGTCTGCAGTTCCCAGTACTGGCACCTTTTCTGAACACTTGAGCAACTGTTACTGTTTAACCATGATTTAGAGATGGTATCATTCTTAAACTAGGAAACACAGTTTCCCTAACCCTAACTCAAACCCATAACCCTAACATTAATAATATAAAACTATTAATACTTTTTGTTAGATTTTCCCATTTGTTTTCTGATAAATATTAGGGCATGGAGTAGCAGGGTGCTTCCAGGCTGGCTATCACCAGCAAAGCTCCCGTGCCGGGAAGCAACCTGTCTCCACCTTCAAATTCTCCTCCTCTGAGATGTAAGATCATGAGTCAGGTCGCTCAGATGTCCTTGGCCAAGTGTCCTGAGCAAGCCTTCTCTCTATTGCTAAACATGTAAAATAATGCAGTTTTTGCTTTGTAAATCTGCAAAGGTTCTTTGCCTACACCTGAAGTTTGCTTTGAAATGTCTGGTTAGCTAAAACCTGCCACAGAAGGAAAATTTACTCAAGGTGGTCTCTTCATAGGGCCTGAAAAAGGTCACTTAGCTGGTGTGCAGAGGGAACCCATGGCAGGGAATTTCATAGACTCTGACAAAGTAAATTTGCAATTTATTTGGAACTTGTGGCCTCATTTTTTATTGGGTTAAAGACGACTTCATAGAACGCTAACTCAGTCCTTCCTGCATTTGAAGAGGTGAATGTTCAATGAGCTCTCACAATGGGCCTTACGTGCAAAATGCCAGGGGCTTTTTGAGATATGTGAGGTCTAAAGTGCTCTGCACCTCCTTGCTGGGTGTCACTGTGGTCACCCTGTGGTGCTCCCTGGCCCTCTGGTGATGGCCGTGACACTCTGTAGTGAGGTATGGAGCACTTTTTCTGGGATGAGTTCTGAACTTAATGGTCAGACCTTGTATTTTGTGCACCATGAAATCCACTGTTTTAAAGCAGAAATATAGTGAATTTTAGTGTTCTCACAAGGTTGTGCTACCATCTCTATTATTTCATTCTACAGCACTGTCATCGTGTCAGAAAGACGGCCCCTAAAGGTCGCTGCCCCTCCACCCTCCCTCAACCTGTGAGTGCTACCAATCCACATCCTATCCCCAGATTTGCCTCATCTGGACACCTCCTAGGAAAAGAACCGTGCGGTGTTTCCCTGTTTGCGGCTCATCGTACCTGGCATGGCATTTCCAAGGTCCTCCCACACTGAGGCACTAGTGGGACCCCGCACACTGTGGCACTAGTGGGACGGCCCCTGGACTGAGGGACGCTCCACAGGGCAGGAGCTCCAAGCTTCTTTTATCCATTCATCAAGTGAAGGGCACTGGGGCTGTTTCTACCTTCTGGCCATTATGGAAAATGCCACTCTGCCCAGTGGTGTGCACATATTGTGCAGACGGGTGTTTCAATTTACCTGGGGATACTGAGGAGTGTCACCTTCAGGTCATAAGGTGACTTCAGGTCAACCCTGAGGAGAGCCCCCCACCCGCTTCGGCACGCCTCAGGCCCACCTGTGCAGCATCTTAAGGTGTGCTTTGGAGCACGTGGGGTTTCTGAACGGCACTGTCATCCTTTGGGTACACACAAGTTGTGAGTCTGAAGCTGCATCAATTTAACAATTAAAACCTGAACCTGGGGGCGTCCTGCAGCTTTGTGGTAAGATGGCTGTCTTACCTTGAACCCTGGGAACCCGGGGTTGCCGTGCGGTCCAGGGTCGCCTGGCTCTCCTTTCCTTCCAGGCTCCCCATTGACACCGGGGAAGCCCTTGGGTCCGGGCAGTCCAGGAAGGCCCGGGACAAATGCATCACCTTCACATCTGCAGTCCCCAGAGTCACCTACAGGGTGGGGTGGGGAGGGGCAGGTTGCTCATGGAGTTTGCTAGAAGGTCTGTGAGCGCGGGAGGTGGGGGACGTGTGAGGTGGGGTGAGTAGGGCTGGACATAGTTCAGGTGACACAGGCTGAACATAGCCTTGGGCTCTTTACACATTCTCTGTCATGATGACAGTTGCTGCACCCACTGTCATCAGGTGTCAGAGGGTGACAGTGAGGCTCCTAGTAAGCTACTTAAGTGTCGGGCTGTGGGCTCCTTGGGTTCAGAATCCCTGTCTGATGTTTACTGAAGATACTTAAAAACTTGGACCATTTACAGGACTAGGCAGAGCTGGCCGCTCCAGGGTGCTGAGGAATCTCCAGTGGCCCATGCTGGATTGCCACCATGCGGCCAGTGGGCTGAGGGGAAGACAGTTCAGAGAGCTGTCAGAAGGGTGGCCTTGTCCTGGCCATGGACACCAAGGTTGTGGGTGACAGGGAAAATGTACCCGACTTCACTTCCTGGGTCTCAACATGGCTGGACCTGGGAAGCCAGGCAGCGGGGCCTCGGCTCCCTCAGGCATGGGCCCAGAGGACGTGCCGGGGCCCACAGAAGAGGCCAGGCAGCCCCGGGCCTCTGACTCCTGCGGCTTGTTCAGGCGTGCCTGGCTCAGGGTGATGTGCTCAGAAGGCCAGGCTGTTCCCCAGCCGCCCACCTGCTCAGGGTGTTGCTTACCTTTCCAGCCCTTCTGTCCTCGGGTCCCAGGAAAGCCAGAGGGCCCAGGGAAGCCTGCTCTTCCTTCTGCTCCTTTGAGGCCAAACAGGAACCCTAAGGAGAGGACCCGGCCAGGATGTCAGTGTGCCCAAGGCAGCTGAGTGTCCACCAAGTCTCCCATGTGACCTATAAACTCTGATTCCCTCCCAAGACGCCCTCTTAGAAACATGGGCTGCTGCATTGTGGCTGTGTTCTTCAGGGTCCGAGGGAAGGTACGAGTCTGCATATTTAGCTTTCCTGTTAAAGTGTAGAGATAAAAATCATTCCTTATGGGAAACACTGAGTCCAGAGAGTCAATTCGATTTATTTGACTGAGTAACTCTGAACCCAAGACTATCTTGTACTTTGGGTTCTGGAAAGACTGAAAACATGAACTCCTTTTCTCATTTTGTCCTTTTTTCTGGAAAGGGAATGGGTGCACAGGTGAGCATGCACACATTCCTTCCCCTGTCTCACTCACACACACCTGTGCAGGCACACGCAACACTCACACACACACACATCAACTATCACAGCACTCATACACGCATACACACCATTACACACTCACACACACATACACCCACTATCACACACTCACAGCACTCACACACCCACTATCACACACTCACAGCACTCACACACCCACTATCACACACTCACAGCACTCACACATACCTGTGCAGGCACACGCAGCACTCACACACACATACATCCACTATCACACACTCACACACACATACATCCACTATCACACACTCACAACAGTCACACACATACATCCACTATCACACGCAGCACTCACACACACACCCCCACTATCACACACACACATATACCCACTATCACACGCAGCACTCACACACACACCCCCACTATCACACACACACATATACCCACTATCACACACAGCACTCACACACACCCACTATCTCACACTCACAGCACTCACACACACATACACCCACTATCACACACACACCCACTATCACACACAGCACTCACACACACCCACTATCACACACTCGTAGCACTCACACACACTCATACACCCACTATCACACACACACACACCCACTATCACATGCAGCACTCACACACACACACACACCATCTCACACTCACAGCACTCACACACACATACACCCACTATCACACGCAACACTCACACACACACCCCCCACTATCACACACAGCACTCACACACACATACACCCACATACACACCCACTACCACACACTCAAACATACACAATCACACACACCCACTATCACTCACAGCACTCACATATACACACCATCACACACAGCGCCCTCACACACCCCCACTATCACACACAGCACTCACACACACATACACCCACTATCACACACTCACACACCCACTACCACACCCACCCACCCACCCACTATCACACACTCACAGCGCTCTCACACACACACCCACTACCACACACACACACACTCACCCACCCACTATCACACACTCACAGCGCTCTCACACACACACCCACTATCACACACTCACACACCCACTACCACACACACACACTCACCCACCATCACACACTCACAGCGCTCTCACACACACACCCACTATCACACTCACAGCATTCACACACACCCACTGTTGCACACTCGCACACATACACTCTCCTACACACACACACATCACACTCACACATCACATATAGATTCTGTGTAACTAAGGAGGATCTCTAGACCCATCTGGATTCACCATGGCCAGCCTCACCACACAGGGGGACCTCCCCATCCCCTCCGAGCCCCTCCCGACCATCAGGGTTCCCACGGTCCCGCCCCCTCCAGCGAGTGCCGGGCGGGGAGGCTCAGCCCAGCGGCGCTCGCAGCGCTCTGGGACAGCGCCACCTGGTGGCAGAGAGAGCCCCACACTTCCGGGACTCAGCGCGGGCGAATCAAGTTAAAATGCATGGTGCCGTAAACAACACCTGGTACCTGGGAGGAAGAGAGGGGGAGGCCACCAAGACAGTGAGGAGGATGAGAAAACTCCAGATTGCTAAAACTGTTTGGAAAAAATATCAGCAGAACTTGCATGTTAGTGGGCAAGCTCTGAGTAACATAAATATCTATGGAAAGGTGGCGATGAGTGTTTAACGCCTTTAATGTAACTCACTCGTTCCTCCATCACTCATTTATCCAGTACCAGGCGCCACGTGTATACACTAGGGCAGGGCTAGCTGCTGCATGTCTACCCTCTGGAGCAGCCACACACCCTCAGGAAGCTTACAGCTCAGACCGGGAGACGTGTGTCCAACATGCATTACCACCCCAACTAACACGGATTTACACACCGTGGCCTTGGCTGAGAGAACAGGGAGCTGGAGCAGAAAAGGACAGGGAGAAACCCATTAAAATGGGGAGTCCCCTCTGAGGAAGGGACTCTTAAATTAAAACCCAAAGCAGGGAGTGGGGGAGAATGTTCTGAGAGCATCTGAAGGCCTGTCAGTGAGAGAGGGCAGTGAGTGGGGGACAGATTTGCTTAAAGGGAGGGGACAAGTCCAGCCAGGCCAATGGTTTGAGGATCTGGGCTTGGCTTTTCACTCAAGGGCAAGGAGGGAGACCCTCAATGGACCTTGTGTATGACTGGCTGGAGGGAGGGGACAGGGGTCGTCTATTCTAGCAGACCAGTGTGAAGTGGTGGCAGCTTGGATTAGGATGAAGGGAATGACACAGACGGCAATAGGCAGTTTCAGGATTCCAGGGGAAGAATCACAAGACACGGTGGGGGCTTCCGGGTGGGGGTGATCAGGGCATCCAGAGCAGCCCCCAGGGTTCTGCCATAGCTCTAGGGTCTGTGGGGGGTGGGTGGGGAGGTCCAGAGTTCAATTTTGGACACAGGTTCAGGTTTTTGTGAGATACATGTGCAAGGTTGACCTGTGTCCAGTTAGCATTTCAGTGTCTGTAGCTCAGAATACAGAACTGAGCTAGAGATGAAAGTAGGGGGTGACTGGTGTATACACTGTGTTTCCATGAAGGTGAGTTTGCCTGGGGAGACAGAGAGAGGGGGTGTGGGCTGAAGGACACTACTGTCCACTGGACAGGTGGAGCAGGGAGAAGGAAGATACTGCAGAGAGCCTCAAGAAGAGTGGTCAGGTGGGCCAGGTGGGCAGTGGGGTCAGCAGTTGGGCAAGACAAGTGAACAGTGTCCCTGCCTCTGCACTGCTGGACCCCTCTCCCCACATGGCTCTGTGGCAATAACAGGAGGCCAAGTCAACAGCCATTTTGGTCCAGTCATGCTGGACTCAACTTTATGTCCCCAAGTGCTCCCAACAGCTTCCAAGAAGAACAATATCACTGGCAGTTATTCAACTCCTCACACTTCAGGGTGGCACATTTAATTTTGGAGACACAACCTCCAGGACAGAGATTGTGGGTGTTTCTCAGGGTAGGTATCGGATACTTCACAAATTTAGCCAAAAAAGCACAGTGTGGCTGCCATACCAAAATCCTTTTCTCTAATATGTTAATAATTTAAAACAAGTCCTATACTATAGAGGTGCCTCTTAGATGTTTTGACCTCATTTCCACGCAGAGGCTGATGCCATAACAAGCCAGGAATATTTCAACTTATTCTAGTGCAGAATGAAACTCTTCCGAAGTTGATTCAGTTAACTGAACTGGAAATAGGAATAAACAAAATTTTTACCCAGAAAGAAAAGAATCCTCATGATTTGATTTTATGGGAACTACAAAAGACCGAAGATTCTGGTTTTTGTCTGTAGCAACCCATAAAATAGGATGAAATGCAGCTAACAAGAGAAGAAGCCAACAGTTTCATTCCAAGGGAAAAGTCAAAGAGCTCCGTGGGAATCAAGGTCACTGATATTAAATTACAGCTGAACACACACATTAAAAAAAGGCCATTGTGGCTGGCTACTTTTTGTACAAAAGGTTGCTTAGAAAGGTTATTTGGAAACAATGTGTTTCACATGGGTAAGTTACACTTAAAAGAAAACTTAAGTGGCAGACTTTTAAAATTTTTGGTTGATAAAATGTATCTGATCCCATCTTATCTATTTTATAAATTCCCTCATCAGTCTACAATACAGTGAATCAGAAATCAGTTGTTTGAAGTTGACTTACCATTAGTAAATCACAGGCTTACTAAGCAAGATTTATACAACAAGATGGTATGTGTTTGTGTCTTTATCAAAATGGAATTTAGTTATAGAATGGAAAAGTTATTCTTTAAAGTGTCATATTTTTATGCCTTTCTTCTTTTTTTTTTTTTTTGCAATTTTTGGCCGGGGCTGGGTTTGAACCCACCACCTCTGGCATATGGGGCCGGTGCCCTACTCCGTGAGCCACAGGTGCCGCCCTATGCCTTTATTTTTTTTTAACACACTATGTTCTGTTCCAAAAGACGAAAAATTAAAAGACAACACTTAGAAAATATAATGCTCACAGAAACTTAGTTATTATCACAGCTGTCACAGTGACAAGTGTTACTTCCAAGATAATAATAAAAAAGTGAGGGCAACACTACTCATAGTATTTGGCAGATTCACTGTCTAGGGAAATATCTATACCTAAACATTTTCTAAAGAATGTGGGAATCTGTGTTTTTTTTTCTAGTTGGAAAAGTGGGAAAGCAGAACCACATTAAGTTAAAACTTTACTATAGAATATAAAGTAGAAACAAAAGTGACTACTGATTCTTTTAATGGAAGAGACACGCACAGATCTGCTTCTAATATCTCTACCTAGTTCCTAGTTCCTTCTAGAGATGGCAAACAAAAGTAGCTTCCAAAAGCAATTAAAACACACATCTTTGAATGTGACCTTCAACTGGAATTGACACTGCCAATTAGCAAACTGAAGTTCTTCCCTGAGTCCAGGAAGCTGCCTGAGATGACTGGGAGGTGATGTCAAGGAATTTACAATAATCTATTTTGGAAAGAAGAAAAAAGCTGTGAAGTTTCGGTCAATGTCACACAGAAAGAGAGTATGACCTTGTATTTCTTCCAGTGTCTCCTTAATTTCACTCTCTTGAGGGCATGAAACGCTACCATAAGGAATTTTACAATGCCAAAAGCACAATTCTTTAACTGCTGAAACTGAAAAGAATGGCTGTTTTTGGAGGCAACTCAAGGGTGCACCACTCATTTTCCAGCCTCCTTAGATGGAGTGTTTTTAAGTAAAAGAAACCCCGTTATCCGTAGGACCCAGCTGTGTCCACTCAGGGATGCGCTGGGGGAACCCTCACATTTGTCTCATTGACGGACGTCTTCGGTCATCTGTTTTGCCTCGGGCTGATGGCTGCCACTTACTTCTGCAGACAGAGTAGCCATTGCTTCTTGTCATCAACTACTATCACCTTTTCAGGGTGGCTTTGGCTCTGCCTGGGCTGGGAATTGTGATTAAAATGGTCAGGTGTGATTAAAATGGTTGGTGAAACAGAGGACAGAGGCTGCAAGCCAAGTATGAGGCCCCACCCTGAAAGGAGGTGCTTTGGCTTTGTTGCCCAGACCCGGGGGAGGCTCTTCCAGCTGCGTCTGCATCCAGGTCACATCTCAGATGTTCTGCTGAATGACTGACCCATGGGGCTGTGGCTGTGGGCCCCAGAAAACACCCACGACATCCTAGTCTACCCAAATCTACTACACCACAATCCACTGGCCTACTGGATCAGTTCAAAGAATTATTTAGCAGAAAAAAAGTCCACAGTGGTCACGCATCCCTAAAGCGTCCCCTCCCTTCAGCTCCCTCCACTCACCATCGGGTCCAGGTTCTCCAGCAGGCCCAGGAAGTCCTGGGAGCCCTGGCTTTCCATCTGCTCCGGGTGGGCCTGGGTAGCGTGCGGGGATGCCTGGGTCTCCTACAAAGCCTTTGGGTCCCATCTCGCCGGGCAGGCCCCTCTTCACATCTGAAATCCCATAGCATCCATCAGCACAGTCTCCTGTCGCCGCCTGGCTGCATGTGTGCCCACATCCACGGGGGACTCCTGGCCGGACTACTGGGCTTCACAGTCCCACCAATAGCTCAAGGGTCAAGGGTCAAGGGATACATGCTGCCAGTACATTTCACTGTCACTTTTCAACTTTAGAAAGATACTTCTCCTTGCCCCTTAGATAACAGCCTGACAGCTGTGATTAAGCCTTGGCAACGACATCAGATAATCCCCTACAATCCTTGCAGCCCACCGATGGTATGGTGCATGCCCCTCCTCCATGGCACAACCTGCCCTAGTCAGAGTCGTGACACGGGACACATGTGGCCGTGTGCAGTGGCTCGGTGCAGATGCCCAGACCAGCTGTGCCAGACTCCTGAGAGTGCAGCTTTACTCGGGACCTGAGTGTGGTGCTTTTGGCCTCAGATTTTGGTACCATGAAGCCATGTTACCTTCATCTCCGATGGAAATGCCAGGGCGGCCTGGAGGGCCTGGGTCTCCCTGCTCACCCCGGCTTCCAGGCTCCCCATGGGACCCCGGGAATCCTGGGTCACCTCTGGCACCTAGAACCAAGATAAGAAGAACAAGGATCATGCAGTGTTCACTTTCCAGTGAGCACGATTTACTGGACACCTGCACTCTGTGCTGGCACAGGGGCGCTCAGCAATCTTGCTACATTTGGAGGACAAAACCTGAAGGTAACTGGGACAACAGGCACTGGGTTTGTGCAGTGATGTTCTAGATAGAGAAAGCAGAACCTGTGAAGTTACACAGAAGTACACGAAGCCCCACTGGTGGGGGCCTCACGAAGGTGGCGAACGCTCCCTCGGACAGAGGCAAAATGATGTTCTCGCGACACCTGCTTGCCAGGTGAGCCCCAGGGACAAGAGAAGTGATGCTGAGACCGGGACTCTCTGAGGCAGTGTTCTAACCACCTTTTCCAGTTTTGTTTTGCTTTGATTAGAAAATCTATCTTGACAGTTTAGGACTCTCTGCCCTGGCATTGAGGTGCATAGCCGTCCGTCTGCTGCGCACTGGAGGAGAAGAGCTGTCCTGGCCTCACGTTAAAACACAGACGCTAATGAGAGCTAATGAGTACAGGAAATGGTCCACGCACACTCTCATGGTATCTGCCACCAAAGACAAGCAGAACAGTTCTCAAATAAGTAATGTGCATGTGGCCTGTGGGGCACAGAGTAGCCACCCCTCTAGCTAAACCATGCAGGGGAAACCACACACACACACACACACACACACACACACACCTTTTGCCAGGGAAGGATGTGGCGAGTAGGCAGGTGGTCCTGGGGGTCCTGGGTCACCTGCTTGTCCCTAGAGAAAGGAAAGAGAAGAAGAGGAGGGTGTGAGAATAGTCTTTTGGAGATCGCAACAAAGAATAAAGCCAAATGTGCCCTTGCTGCTTGGCGAATCGGCTGAGCCACAGGCCGTGCCTGGGTAACATCTCCACTGTGCTGTGGGGCTTCGCAGGCCAGCTCCCAGCCACACGCAGAGGACAAGACAGGCAGGGGCCAGCCTCCTTCCCGGACTCTTGGCAAAAGCAGAGAGTGCCTTCTGTAGTTCAGACTATACACTGTTGATAATGTCATCCGACACCCCCTACTCCCACCGAAGGTGAGCCGGGAGGGGTGTAGTGTGCCTTGGAAGGACCCCTCTGTACTGTAGGACCCAGAACCCTACATGTCGCCTGCACCTCTTAGAGCAGTGGTTTCAACCTTCCTAATGCCACAACCCTTTAATACAGTTCCTGTGGGTCGCGACTCACAGGTTGAGAACCGCTGTCTTAGAGCCTCCCAGGGCTCCTAAGTCCTCTTCAGATTTGCCCCACCCAGGGGGACAGGCTCCCCGCCTGGTGAGCTGCCCTCTCAGCTGGGCCAGCCTCACTCCACCTCCCTGCCCACCTGAGGATTATTTAGATGAGGCATCTCCTGCCATGGAACCAGGGCCCCTTGCCCTCTTACTCCCACATGCCCTGTTGGTCCTCTCTGCCTCCTCAGCCAGCCCATCTCTGTCCCCTCGTCCACCTGGCCTCAGGGCCATGTGTCCTGCCATCTCACGCTCTTTAGGGCCGGGGATGCCTCCTCTCTAGAGGGGAGAACAGGACCCCACGAAGGGCAGAAATGACACAGGGGCTCACCTTGGGTCCTCTGGGTCCATCAGGGCCTTGAAAACCATCCAGGCCTCTGCTTCCCTGTAAGAAAGAGGTGAGTTTTTCACTTTCTTTTGTAACAGATAACTTAAAAAAAAAAAAAAAAGGTACTGCAATACCATTAGCTAACAAAATCAGCTAGAATTTGCTAAATTTGTGAACCCACTACATATTTAATTTTCCCTGATTTTGTTCTCAAAAATGTTTTAATGCTGCTTTGCTTGAATTAGGAGGCAAAGTCCGAATGAAACATTTGGCTATCATGTCCCTTGATTCTCTTTTTGTTTCTAATAGTTCCTTCTTCCGTTCTGCTTTTTTTTTTTTAAGCAACACTTTACTTATGGCAGTTGTTGAAGAAAGTGGGCATATGTCCTGTGTCCTGGTAGTGCCACCACGGGCTCCTCTGCCCCAGACATTCTCCACACCAGAGCAGAGGCCTCGCTGGGCTCGAGCAGAGGATGGCGGCTCCTTCCTCAAAATGGCCGTGGAGGCTCGGGTGTGGGGCTACCCCACCTCAGAGACTTTTGTGACTGCTCAGTGGGGTTAAGTGTTGACGACCTGGAGGACCTGTCACCCTCAGTTTTGATTTCTAATTCCATTGAGCATTTATTGAAAGACAAAGGTCACCCTTATCACAGTCACATCTGGAGGTATCTGGATAGATGAGTAAAGCTTTCCAAAAATCTAGAACTGTGCTCTCCCTTGTCAAAGAATTTGTAAGACTCAGCTCCTCCAGCTCAGAATGCTCGATGGCAAAGGTGTAAGAAATGCCTGTTGTTTGATTATTCTGGAGGCTACTTTGGTATCCAGGAGCAGTTCTGCTTCAAGGCAGGTTGTTCAGACTCAAGTGAGTTGAGCGTCACTGTGTGCTTTTTTTGGTGGGCTGGTGGTTTAGTCCGGGACTTTCTGTCACACTAGGTGGAGCTGAAGGCTTGGGGGCAAAGGTGAAGTTCTCAGAAGTTACACGCCCTCGGAGAGTGTGTGGGACCAGAGGCTGCTGCTCGGCCTTCAGTCCGAGCTGTGTGCACAGCCAACTGCATGACACAGCTCACACACACCTTGGAACCTGTCACATCCAGGCTTCACCCACCAAGCATCACTCCGCTGTACTGTGACATCATCAACAAATAAAAGCAAATGTCCCCCAACACCAAGAGCCCCCACTTTTGCTGAATAAGCCAAGATAGCACTGCCACCTCTGAAATATGTCAGAATGGTTAGAAATTAGCTGGGCATTATGTAAAGCCAGCTGGGGAAAGGGGAAGGCCCAACAGCACCCAGGGTTCCTCTGAGACTTCCATGGTACCCAGGCAGTCTAGGACCTCAAGTCACAACGATATAAAGCTCTTCCTTTGTGTTTCTCAGTGGCTGATGCAGCAACTGGGGTGGCGAAGGTGCCATGTGAGGCAAGAGGAGCTATCTGGGGTGGCCACATGCCTGCACCTGGGGGGCTCCACTGGTTCCTGGTGACCTGGCTTTGAGGTCTCTGATCCTGCTAAGTGGAGCATCACAGAAGCCACCACTAGGAGAGACTGAAGTCAGGAAACTGACACCAAGATAATGGTCTAATTCAGAAGGAATAATTACAAGTTGCTTTGAAAATGTACGTTCCTTCTCCCCCTCTTCCTCCCCCTCCAGTGACTCATCACTAATTTGAATTCAGTGAGGCCCTATCTGTGACATATGGGGAGTTCTGATTATAGAATTTTAGAAGTACAGAGTTGATTGCATATTTTTCAAGGGTAGAAATACATTGGCTGGGCACTGTAGTTCATGCCTGTAATCCCAGCACTCTGGGAGGCCGAGGCAGGTGGATTGCCTGAGCTCAGGAATTCTAGAACAGCCTAAGCAAGAGCAAGACACCATCTCTACTAAAAATAGAAAAATTAGCCGGGTGTTGTGGTGGGTCCCTGTAGTAGGCAAGAGGATCACTTGAGCCCAACAGATTGAGGTTGCTGTGAGTTATGATGCGGCAGCACTCCACCCAGGGTGAAGGAGTAAGACTGTTTAAAAAAAAAGGTAGAAATTTTCAAATCAAGTTGAAAAAAATCATTGGGCAGATGTCCCAGGCAACAGACAAAAAGAATTTATGATTAGACTCTTTTAGGGAAAGGTGGATTTCCAAAGCCCTTGGGAGCAGTTCAGGGTGTGAAGCAGAGGAGATGCCTCCCTCACTGCCTGAGGCACATTTGTTTACTGCGCCCTTTTTTATTTCAATGGGCACGGGAGCATCAGCCAGGCTGACTCTGTGTGCGGCAGGAAAGCAAGTCCTTAAAGAACTTCTGCTAGCCTCCAAAGGAAATGGCATTTACCATACAAGAAAGGCAGTGAGATTTCAATACAATGAACACTTTTCAAAATAATTCTAGCTGTGGAAAGCTTTTACTCCGTTACTAAAAATATGTTTTTTCCCTAAAAAAGGCAGGGTGGAAACAACCTCTGATTTTCCAGAAAATTTAAGATAACCCAATTCATAAAATATACTTCTCCAGTCCCTTTTAGAAAAGGCTAAAACTCATAGAAGTTCCATTAACCTCCATGGAAATGAGGGCTGCCCACTCTGTGCTGGAAAAACCTTTCTAGGACAGATAATCTCTTTTGGTTCCTCCCATTTGGTGCACTGTTATGGTCACAGTTGTCTCTGGGACCTGCTTTTGGCTTTATTTTATATCATTAAGCTGAGGTCTGAGTACAACGAAAGTTGTGCAATGAAGAGGACCTGGCCAGGGCAGGACAGACACAGTTGCGGTACAGGACGAGCAGGACGCCTGAGTCATCTGTGTAGTCCTGTCTGTTTCCTATTTGTACAGGCAAGTAAACTGTCTCCCTTAAACCCACTTTAGTGGGCATGTCTGTGACTTCCAAGTTGTTGCAACTGCAGAAAGCAAGCGCAAGGAAGGGAGCCTGCAATCCTCAGCGCCCTCACCATCATCACAGCCCTCAGCACCCTGACCATCCTCACCATCCTCACCATCCCCACCACCCCCACCATCCTCACCGTCCTCACCATCCTCACCATCCCCACCATCCTCACCATCCCCACCGCCTTCACCTTCCTCACCATCCCCACCTTCCTCACCATCCCCACCATCCTCACCATCCCCACCATCCTCACCATCCCCACCACCCTCACCATCCCCACCATCCTCACCATCCCCACCATCCTCACCATCCCCACCTCCTTCACCATCCTCACCACCCTCACCATCCTCACCATCCTCACCACCTTCACCATCCTCACCATCACCATAGCCTTCACCATCCTCACCACCCTACCATCCTCACCATCCCCACCACCTTCACCATCCTCACCATCATCATAGCCTTCACCATCCTCACCACCCTACCACTCTTATCATCCCCACCACCTTCACCATCCTCACCATCCTCACTGCCTTCACCATCCTCACCATCATCATAGCCTTCACCATACTCACCACCCTTACCATCCTCACACCATGCAGTTAGCTGAGGTCACTATGATTTCACTCGATGGCAAGGAATTAACAGCAGCACTTTAATTATGGGGTGAGTGGACAGGAGTCATGATGCTCATGTCTGCTTTAGACTTTGGCCCTTTACAGCTGTACCTTTTTTTTTTTTTTGGCTGGGGCCGGGTTTAAACCCACCACCTCCAGTATATGGGGCCAGCACCCTACTCCTTTGAGCCACAGGCACCACCCATACAGCTGGCAGCTTTTTATAATCCTTTGAGAAGCAGGTCTGAGGGCTGTGGCTCTGAGTGCACTACCTCTGGGGACATTCTGATCAGTAACTAAAGTTATGATAGGTTGGGTGTAGTTAGGGCAGAGCCTGGCATCAGGCCCCAGCCTCAGCTCAGGGTAAAAGGGCAGGAATGGGAAGAATAAGACCAACTGAAGTTTCAGAAGTGACAAGACTGGTGTTGACCGCACATGGCCGGAACCAGAATGCTGGGCCAGGACGGCCCTGCCTGGAGCAGAGGACGTAGGAGTGCATAGTGGGAGGCAAGTCCCCCTGTCCCAGGACAAACATGCTGCAGCCCCCTTCCCTGCAGGTGTCACACCCTGCTATGGAGCCACGGGTGGGCCTCCATGGAATCAGGATTCGGAGGCTGAACTAATATTTTAAAGAACATCTATTTCTATGCACCTACTAGGTCCAGACAGTGGAAATATGAGCTGGTGGGCACCGAGGTGTGTGTGCCATAAAACCGACCACACGTCTGCTGGAAACGTGGAAACTACCCAGAGGGCGTAGGCGAGGATGCTGGGTCCATTTACTACAGTTCACTGCAGCTTGTTAAAGAATGGAGCTATGTGCTAATGCGGAACAATCTCCAGGACGAGGTGGAGAAATCCAGGGGCCTCACAGTTCATTTCCTTTGCTGTTAGATCCATGTGTGTGGGGATGCCTGGGCGTCTTTGTCACGCTGCCCTGTCCGCACTGGCTGCCCTGGGCTGTGCCATATATTCTAGGGAGACTTAGTGCCGACAACAAATGCTGAAAATACACCCATCTTGAGCACAGTCTGCTTCCCAGGTGCTCTCTCTTCTGACTCAGTGTTTAGACGGTTCTAAATCTGACCCGGATTCATCAGACATTTCTCACGTGACATTTTCTTCTAAACCATAGTCAAAAATCTGTCCAGGGAACACACAATAAAAATAACTAACTGGGTCATCATTAAATATAAGCAAGGTGTCATGGTAAGGGGTCAATTTATACAAATATTTTGACGGACCCTAGGCCACCAAGTTGGCAACCTTCCCAAGAGTGACAGCAACACAGGGCAGAGGTGTGAGGTCGGAAGGCACAGAAGCCCTGGCTAGTCGGAGAGGAATGATGGAGACTTTGAGGGGGAGAAGGTGGGATGGGTTTGCAAAACTGAGAGACAAGGTCAGTGCTCTCACTCGGTTGAGACTGAGCCGGGAGGAAGGGTGACACGTGTGGCACAGGTGCAGAGGACATTCTCAATGCTTTTCTGAGGACAAGTGTTCTTTCCTGGGACACCACAGCCCAGGAAACATTCCCTTTGATGCATCAAACTTACTTTCTGTCCTGGGGGTCCTTTTTCACCATCAAAGCCGGGGGCACCCTGGGTTGAAGAGAAAACAGAAGCAATAACAGCTTAGAACATGCAGTAAGAATTTCCAGAGGGTTTTATTACAGGACTTTTCACTGATAAAAGAAAAATTCTGTTGGACGACAGGACTTAGTCTCAGGTCCAGATGTGAGGACCCATAACAAGCCATGAAAGTGAATATCGAAGGCAACTCTTCCCCCTTGAAAGTTGAGAGTTAAGAATATATGACTGTGATAAAAGCATTGATCTTTTCAAGGCAGCAAAATGCCTAATAACAGCAAAGCTAAGTTTACTATGAAAGACATTAAAACCATAGGAAGGCTTATTTTTCAAAGAAGGCAAGCAAATCTTTCTACCAGCATTCCTACCACTTACACCTGGAGGAATGTATATGGAAAGGCACCTCTGTCAATGTTCTAATGAGCCTCTTTATTCTTATTTTTGGAGACTGTGACAAGTGTCTTTTTAGTGGCAGTGGTGACCAGACAGTCACCAAAGCACCATTTTCTCTTCCTCCGGGATGTGGACCACCTCTCCCAGCCACAGCTGGGTTTGGCTGTGGAGCTGAGGTCGAAGGCTCACTTCAGGCCAAGGCTGTGAGGGTGAGACCTCTCAGGTGGCTGAATCAGTTTGGGAGGAGACCCCCCCCACCCCGGCAGTTACGGACATCTTACCGAACTCTCTCATGGTGACCAGAAACCAGAGTGGGTTTGAGATTTCTATATTTTTGGTTTCTAGAGACAAATGTAGCCTGACACACAGTTGGAAAGGTTTTCTGCTGTGTTCCCTCCATCCCCAAAGGGAGGACACGATTTGGGACACTCAGTTACTGGGTGGGAAGGATAGGCAGTGGGCTTGGTAGATCAGCTGGGGGTCCGTGTGTGGGTGACGGTAATGGGACATCTCTGTACTTCCTACTCAGTTTTGTTGTCAGCCCAAAACTGTTCTAAAAACAAAAGTCTTTTTAGAAAACAAAACAGAACAAACAAGCACAGTAATAAGGTGGGTGCTTTACCCTTGCTCCTGAGAAGCCCGTGGTTCCTTCTTCTCCCTTCAAGGAAATGCCCTAGGAGAGAACAGAGAATGTGAAGGAGGTCCCCGTCACGGCCTGGGTCCCTCACGCTCTGCTCTGGCATGGGGGGGGGGCGCTAGAAAGATCCTAGAGAGTGTGGCCCGAATTGTCACTTAGTCATGAGACATCTGTCAGCACCATACCTATGTGACAACAAGGGAGGGAGGAGGGAATCTAGGGACAGGAGCAGCAAAGATGAAAGAGGCAGGCACAGTGGTGGCCTCGACCCAAGGGAGGCCACCCCAGGCACAGTGGTGGCCTTAACCTTGACCCAAGGGAGGCCACCCCAGGCACAGTGGTGGCCTCGACCCAAGGGAGGCCACCCCAGGCACAGTGGTGGCCTCGACCCAAGGAGGCCACCTCAGGCACAGTGGTGGCCTTGACCTTGACCCAAGGGAGGCCACCCCAGGCACAGTGGT